GGATTTCAGGGTTCCTTAGGGTGACGCTGGGTCCCATTTAACTTTGTATTCCCTCTCCTAGGGGAGCCCCTGGGCCAACACCCTCCCCCCCCAGCCAGCCTAGGTGGGCTGTCAATGGGAAACGGTCACAGTTTGGGTTGAGTCCAGTGGTTGTGTTTTTGTCCCACTGAGGCACTGAGTAGTAAAGAGACCTGTGCAGGTCTCATTGCAGGTTGGTGCGACTAGAACCCTGTGAACTTGACTCTCAGGTCAGTGCTCTTTCTCTTGCTGCATCTGTTGCTGAGTTCAAGTGTATGCCTCTCAAGCTCTCTGGGATGCTAAGTCCTGCACCAGGCAGGGACCCCACCAACTCAGGGCCTGTGAGCAGGAGAAGCGTAGCTGGGCTCATGGGATGCTCTGGGTTACCTTACTCACAGCCCTCTTTCAGGGCTGGGTGGGCCCTTTCAGAGCCCAGATGCAGCGCTGGCCCTTCCTGAGCCCCTGCTGGCCCTGATGGCTGGGCTCAGGCAGTTGCCAAGGTGCCCTGGGGTTTTTGACTTAGCTGCCGATCTGCTGCCAGGATCAAATTTACCCTGGTCATGCAAATGAGCATTGGGCTGTGCCTGGCATGGGGAGGTGGGTGGAACCAGGGCCCTGTGTGAGGAGAAGGCAGAGGCAGCCAGGAGGAAGTTATATAACAAGGATGCTGAGGGGGCCAGGCGGGCTGCATGTTACATAACTGGGAGAGCAGCAGGAGGGAAAGCGCTATCTTAACACCCGGGCAGGGATGGGCGGCTGGTGACCGCCTGACAAAGAACTAGGGCATCTTGAGGTCAGAGTGCGCAGCGGCCCCAAAACGGCAACCTTGGGCCAGTTCATTCATTGATTAGCTATTCATTCAGTAACTATTTCTGAGTACCTACTATGTGCCAGGCTGTGGCTTTAGTCATGTTTGATTCCCTCGGCATTGCTTTGTGGTAGGCGGTGTCATCCCTTTTTTCAGATGAGGAAACTAGGACTGTTTTGTCCAGAAGGAGAGAAATGGTGATAATTCCTATTACTGAGCACCTGCTCTGTGCCCACTTCCACGTTTAACACTTTGCTACATCACTGATCTTCATAGCTCCCTGAGGCTCCGAGTCAGCCAGCTGTGAGTGCTGGTCTGTCCAGCTCAGAGACCCTACTGCTGTGTCCACCATAGGGGCGGCTCCTTGGTTTGTGTGGCCTCACTCCTTCCACTGTTTCCTGTCTGACCGTGGGGCCTGGCAGGAAGGGGCCTCTCTGAGCTGCCTTCTGATTCTAATGTAGGAGTTCGGAGCTCCTGCCTGAGGTGGGAAGGAACCCATGGGGTGGCATGGGATGAGGTTGGGTGTGAGGTCAAGTCATGGGATTACTTTAGGCCACCTTGGCCAAGTCCCATCCCATCTGATGAGCCTCTTTTCCCTCATCTATATGATGAGGGGGCTGGAATTGACCCCCTAATGCCCTTTCTCTCTTGTAGCCTGTGATTCAAGGCCAGAAAGGAGACCCTGGGACTTTTTCACTTGTCCAGGACTGGTTGTGGGGCCCACTGGGCAGCTGCGGGTGGCCCTGGTTCCAGTGGGCCTTCACCACTGGACACCCCTCATGCCTGTCACCTCTGTCATTGTACTCGGTCTGGTGGAAGTAGACTGGGACTACTCCTACTTTACAGAGAAAACTGAGAGGTCAGGCAGCTGGTCTGGGGGAGTCACATGGAGTGAGACCAGATCTGGGCAAGGCTGATTCGAATCCAAATCTCTGGCAGCTGTGTACATGGAGAGGGCCCCTTCTCTGCTGGATCTGTCCCCTCCGTTGCTCTGAAGCCCCAGTGTCAGACCTGATGTGGGGGTCATTGTGGTTTGCTCCTGACCAGCTGTGCGGGGGCAGACTTCAATCCGGGGCGGAAGCTTCCTCAGGACCCCAAATGTGAACGCTTTTAAACATCTACTATCCACCCCACGCGTGCCCCTTGCAGGTCAGCGACATCAAGTTCCAGGCACCCAATGGGGAGGAGAAGGAATCCTGGATCAAAGCCCTCAATGAAGGGATCAACCGAGGCAAGAACAAGGCTTTCGACGAGGTGCGATGCGGTCCTGTGGACGGCTCTGGGTCTCCTTTCCCACCGTGTGTGATCTCAGAGTGGACCCTGCCCGACCCCACCCTGACAGCCCCTTGATTATGTCACTGCTACAAACACTGGGGCATCTGTGGTTGTTACCTCGTTTAATCATCACAACACCTCTCAAAGTAGGTGGTTGTGTTCCCATGTCACAGATGAGGACACTGAGGTGTAAGGAAGTTAAGTAACTTGTTTTAAATTAAAACGTGGGTAAGTGGTGGGGTAGAATTTAACTGGGTGCAGCCATGCATCCTTTCCAACCCAGCCCCAGCCGGAAACAGCAGGAAACAGCAGAGAGGTCTGTGGGTGAGCTGAGAGCCTGACAGCTCACTCTTCAGTTGGGCGGTGAAGTCCAAGCTTGGCTGGCTCCAACCCTGGGCCTCCTTATCTGCCTGCAGTGGCCACCCAGCCCCCTGTGCTGTAGTGGTGATGGCAGCAGGGCCACCATCAGGCTTCGGGCAGGCAGGGTGTCCCAGGGGACCAGATCTCCTAGGGAGGGTTTATCTTTGACATCATGGATTCATAGCTGTTTGGGCAAAAATGGGCTTGGGGGGCCACCTAGAGTGACCCCTTGGATTGCAGAAGACTGAAACCCAAGGGGAGCGAATTTTGCCACGCAGGTTCCCTCTTAACACCCAGGTTCCCTGCCTCACAGCCATGGCTCCTGGATCACGTCTTACGTGACTGTGCCATGCTCAGCCCTTCACTTGCTTGGGAAAGTGTCCCCATTTCAGGGGAGAGAGAGTTGGAGGCCACAGGAGCATGGGCTGGGTCTCGGCCCACAGCCTTGGCGGAGCAGGACCAGCTCCTCCACTGCAAAGACCCTCAGGTGGGCCTGAGCCTCACCTGTGGGCAGAAGAGTCTTAGCCCACCCCCACCACCACAGGGACAGGCTGCTCCAGGATTCAGAGTCTGGATTTCCCACGTGACTCTTCCTGTGGCTTCCCGGCTACTCCCCGCCCCCATTCCTTATCCTTAGAGAGGAGATGCTGCCCCCCAGACTCCCTGACCCCTGGGAGTAGAGGCCCTGCTCTTTCTTGAGCTATCCCCAGGGGTCCTGGGAGAGTGACGGGCCAGGGAAGGTCTTTTCTGGAAGCCAGGTACTAGGGGATCATGGGCTGTCTTCTCCCCGCTCCCCCCCAAGCTAAGCACAAAAGCAGCCTCAGGGCTGCTTACATACTGCAGTGGACTGAGGGGTGAGGGCTGATAGCCCACATTTGGGCAGGAAGACTGAGGCAAAGCAAGCAGCTGCAGAGAAGGGAGAGCCTCAGATTGCAGAGAGATGACACAGGCTGTGTAGAGGTGGGGAGAAAAGCAGGGAGATGCCTCAAAGAGAGGGACAGCTGGGGCACTTGACCCTGTCAAGCAAGGATGCAGGTGCAGACCCTGCCTCTGAGTCTCAGGTTAACGCCTGGGCATTTCCTCCTCTCCTCAAGGCCTGCTGGGGACTGACGTGGTTCCCTGTCCTTCCCAGGTAAAGGTGGACAAGAGCTGTGCCCTGGAGCATGTGACACGGGACCGCGTACGTGGGGGTCAGCGGCGCCGGCCCCCTACAAGAGTCCACCTGAAGGAGGTAAGGCCTTGGCCCCAGCTTGGGAAGGTTGGGAGTCAGATGAGCCTGGGACCACAGCTCCTTAGGTGGCAGCGGGCTTGGGCCACCTTTTTCCTGAGCACTCTTGGTATCGGGCTGCCTGAGTGGCATGCGGGGTGTCAGTGTGGAGGCGCGAGTGCTGTATGTCCTCAGGGAGTGGGTGCGCCTGCTTCCCATGTTGAGTCCACGGGCCTTAACCCAGGCTGGTGCTGGAGGGAAACTGAGAGCCTGAGTCTAGTCCTCGCCTCTCAGAGCTCAGCTTCCAGCTGGAGAAGAGACCTGTCCACGGACTGCTCCAAGCAGCACTGTCTAATTTTGGTACAGAGGGCGGCTCAGGCAGGCTGAGCAGGAGGGACCACAGAGGACCCACAGACACCTGAGCTGACCCTTGAAGCATGGGAACGGTTTCAGTGGGCAGACTTGGAGTGAGGGAGGTCCTGGGTGGAGGGAATGGTGCGAGCTTGAGGCCCAGGGCAGGGGAGTTTGAGGTGTGCCTGGTCCCTTTGGCTGGAAGATGTGTCTGGGAAGGTGGGGTAGCGGGGAGGAAATTGTGGAGGCCTTGAAAGCAGGAGTCAGGGGCAGGATGGATGGGAGGGTGCGTTGCAGAGGTCAGTTGGAGGCCCTGGGTAGGATGGGTCAGGTTGATGGAGGGAAAGGCAGGGGGCCAGGAAATAGAGGCAGGCGTGGGGCCTCTAGGCTCCAGGAGGGGGTGAAGAGGGAGGGGCCGGTGCAAGAGACACTGGGAAGCAAGAGCCACCTGGGCTTGTGATTGAATTCAGGACTCGGGGAGGCGAGCTGGACAAAGAGGGAGGGTTGTCAGGAGTGCCCCCAAGCCTGGAGACCCGGCGAAGGGAGGCCCTGGACACAGGGAATGTGGGAGAAGTTATGGGCAAGGGGGAGGGGGAAGGGAGGAGCCCTTCGTCAGACCAGTGTTACTGATGGGTGTCGATAGTTGGGGGAGAGACCTTGGAGGCCAGGAAAGAACCTCAGCAGATGCTGCCTTTGGGGAATGGGGGGCAGTAGGGAGCAAAGGAAGAGGAAGCCAGAGAGTGGCGCATCCGGAGAGAAGGGCACAGGACTAGGGGTCATCAGCCAGGTTGGCAGCCACAAGTCACGAGGCAGGACTGAGGAAAAGGCAGATGGTGATGTTTACAGCACATTTTCTCAGAGAAGGAGTCAGCTTAGGGCTGTCATGGGGTGCAGAGCTGGGGATGCTGGAGAGAAGGAGATAGACCAGGGCGGGGAAGGAGGGAGACAGAAAGGGGCCAAGGTCATTGGAGGGTTTGCTGGTGAGATGAGATAGCCTGTTCATGTCTGTCAGCGGAGGGAAAAAAGCCTGCAGAGGGAGTGCAGAGGGAGTGACTGAAGTAGCCAGAGAGGAAAGTCATGTCTGAGGGAGGAGGCCTAGGAGGTGTGGGGCAGGCCAGCCTTGGAGAGGGGAACCCTCTGAGAAGAATTCAGGGAGGCACTCGTGTCCAGTGACTGAGCGCATATGTAGGCCAGGTCACCCTGTGTGTGTAAAAGGGAGTGAGGGACCTTGAGGGACCTTGGGAAGGGCCTCCTGCCCAGCCCCACTCCAGGCCCTCTGAGGCTCCCTGGGAGTTTTCCCCATGACCGTGGGGCTGCTGGGTGTCCCTGTGGGCCCCTGGGGCCAGATGGGGCCAGCTGCCTGCTGGGTACAGCTGTTCTCCTCTGGCACTCAGCTGTGGTCTGGGGCTGCCTGTGTCTGGGGCCACATGTGACAACACGAGGAGAGTGGGCACCAGCTGCTGAGCAGCTGGGCAGGCGAAGGCTGGAGAGCTCTGGCCCGGAGGGCTGGCGGACCGGACAGAGGTCTGCAGGGCGAGTGAGCTCAGGATGATGCAGGAGATCCATATGTGAGTTCCGGTCCTGTCGCCTGCCGACCGTGGGGACTCTGGGTGGGTGGTTGCAGAGAAGGGACCCTCCCAAGGCCCACAGCCAGGTAGGGGCCCGAAAACAGGGCTGGAACCATGTCCCCTGACACCCAGGCCAGCACAATTGCCATTCAAAAGAGCGGCCTATCACATAGGCTGGAAGAAGCCAGGCTGGGGCGCTGAGAGGGCACCCTAGCTCTGGCTTCCTGGCCTGTGATTTCAAAACCAGGAATTCTGCGGAAGTGAGAGAGAGGAGAGGATTCATCAGAGAATCACTTTAGCTTCTAATCAGGTGGCTTTGGAAACCAGAGCAGAGGGCATGGAGAGTAGGGGGCCAGGGGCCTGGGCAGCCTAGATGGGAGGGCTTAAATACCTTGTAGGTGGGCACACCTGACCCAGTGGCTGTTCATCCAAGTTGATCACCATATCCTGCTCCTCCACCCAGGTAGCCAGTGCAGCATCCGATGGGCTTTCGCGCCTGGACCTTGATGTTCCTGACAGCGGGCTGCCAGTGTTTGCCCCCAGCAATGATGTCAGTGCAGCCCAGCCCCGGGAGACACCCCGGCCGCCCATGCCTCCTACCAAGCCTTCCGCAGCACCTGAGACGACCAGTCTTGGTGATGGAGTGGAGACCCCTGTAGGGGAGAGAGCCTCAATCCCCGTCCCAGCAAGCTCTGAGACCCACCCTGAAAGCCGAGAAGACTCAGAGACTCCAGTGGGGGAGGACAGGGGCTCTGAGCAGCCCCCCAGCAGGGTCCTGCCTGACAAACTGAAGGTGAGCTGGGAGAGCCCCAGCCCTGAGGAGCCCCCTGACCCTGAGAGTACAGAACCGCCCCAGGTGCCTGATTCTGGGACTTCCAAGGCCGTGCCTAGGGAGGGTGGGAAGCCCGCTCCACCCCCTACACCCCCAGCCAAGATCTTATCGGAGAAACTGAGAGCCTCCATGAGTGGTGTGCAGGCTTCTGGGCCAGCCCAGAGTCCTGGGGCCTCTGAGACCTCTGCCCAAGGCCCAGCACAGGTCTCAGTGAATGGTATGGATGACAGCCCTGAGCCCATCAAGCCATCCCAGGATGCAGGCACCCCAGGAACTTGCCCAAAGAATGCAACAACGTCCACAGCACTGCCCCAGTGGGACCCGCAGCCTCAGTTCCATCCCCGCTGCTCCTCCCTGGGGGACCTGCTTGGGGAAGGCCCCCGACGTCCACGGAAGCCTGGGGAACAGCTGTATCGGGCCCAGCTGGAGGTGAAAGTGGCCTCGGAACAGACGGAGAAACTGTTGAACAAGGTGCTGGGCAGTGAGCCGGCAACTGGGAATGCCG